ATTTATATATATATATACACACACACACACACATACCCACGCACGCACTCACACAGGATCCCTTACACAGAACATTTAAAAAATATGTAAATCACCACTGAAGACACCACTTGTCACATACAAGTTAATCATATTTGTGACGAGTGTCTTCTTTTTTAAAATAAGTATTAAGTATTTTTCCCAGGCACTCCTTTGAAAGTGCGCATTATGAAACCTTTATGGGTTCCCCCAGAACCAATTTGCCTACGCGCTGAAAACGTGACCAATTTCCAAACAAACATGGAAAATTAAATGTGCACAGTTGGCTCAACATGCAGCAGCTTTCCTGCTGTGAGGAAAATGACACCCTCACATCTACACCAGTTAATTATCAAAGCTGCTTTGAAGCCTCATATAGCAGCTAGCTGTAGTGTTCAACTAGCAAGGCACCGTATCCCTTCACTCTAGATAGCTAACAAAATATTAATATATTCGTTATAGATCGTTAGCTCCACCACCAAGGAATGACCTTACATGCGGCAGGTGTCATTTATTGATGCCAGAAACACCACTTCCATTTACCACACAGCTAGAGGGCTTGTGTGTGAAATCTACAGAGACGACCTCATGTAACCGTATTCCGGAATATTCCCACATGATGTGCTGCTGCTCCCACACAAATGGACTAGGAGCAAACTGAGCTCCCACGTCACTCCACATATTTGCACCCCAGAGCACCTATTAAAGAGACTTTAAAAAGCAGCGGGTAGAAAGGGAACACCTCGGAGTACAAGCCACACACGCATGGTGGAGCGGGCGTGTCCACGGCCACCCGAGACCGCCAGGCCCACGTGGTCCTAGAAACCCCACTTCAGACACCCATGCACAATCTGCTACCGACTTTAAAAATGTCAAAATATTCGCTTCCAAGTCCACAACACTTAAGGGCCCTGATGTAGCAACTGAATACAACTGCTGACAGACTGCCAACCCAAAGCAGGAACCCCAACAGGTACCACACTCTGTGTCATGTGACGCCACGGAGGAGGAAGGGGAGAGATGACTGCATACAGAGAGCTCCTAAGATTGGAGGCAACATGCAAACAGATACCCATGTCAGCCAAATGCTACAGTGACCATTATTGTAGTGACTTGGGGTCTGTGTTGTATCTGCTGCTCCTAGCCAATGTAAATCATACGGGGTCCCTGTAGCTAGCTGGTCAAGGCTTTTGATATGTTTGAATGACGATCAACAACCTTAACATGTGGCAAAAGTCATCCCCTCAGATTTGTGCTGAGATGAAAAAATGATACTTTGTGAAGCTCTGGACAGTGACACTGTACAGCAGAAATGAACAACCTCTGGCACATATACTAAGTTGGTTTTGATCCCACCTCCTCTTTTAACCGATTTAACCCAAGTAGCCTCGCCCACTGTTTTCAGTGCTAATCTGTTACTAGACAATGACCTAAAGGTCAGGCGGGGGTCATGTGACAAGAGTACTGGCCAACCCTGACATTCAGCAGACTCCCAGTGACAAGTCTTCCTTGGAAGGGTCCTCCTTCATTGAAAGGGTTCATCCCCCCCAAGGAGAACCACGAAAAAAGGAACACTTGTAGCATCAAAGCAGCAAAGAGGAGCCAAGCTAACAAAGCAGAGAGCATCAGCCTCCTCAAACTTCTGCTTAAGAAGCTCTATCCTGCTTGCTCTGAGGGTAGGGGGCTGGGGTAACACCCATACCTACATATTAACTTACCAAATGAAACAGGAGGGCTGCATTAATCAGAGGGTATGAGGAAACAGGAGTGAGGTCTCTACCTCTGGGCTGCAAGTGTAGCCAGAGGCTAAGATATGAGGGGCCAATCCCTTTCCAAAAGGTCCCTCAAGGGGGAGCCCCTCTCCTGACCTCACAAGGAGTGTATCAAAGTGAATCTGATGGTCACACTCAGCAGTCTGTCCCTCACTGATGCCTGACTGATTCTGGTGAGGAGATGCGCACATGCGAGTGTCCATTTTAACCCAGTCATCTCCTGCTCCAGTCAACAGCTGGAACTTCAGGAGCAGGTATGCTATTGTCTAGCAGCCACACAAAGTCTGCACACAAATAAACAGAGGGAGCACCATCACTGCGAGTCATGGGGACACCGAGCACAGCGCCCCCTTCTGCTCGTTTCCAAAACACTGACTGCAAGAACAGGCACGTACAGTCTCTCACACACACACACAGACACACACAGACCAGCAGTGGTATGGCTCAAAGCTCCTCTCCAATGGCCTCCACTCTGACTACGTGCACAGACAGTGTCAGCTCCTGAGTGTCAGCATAGGGGAGCATCCAGAATGTAACGCTGTGCTCCACATGCTCCACTCAGGAAGGGACGACATGCCGCACTCCTCCCATCCTAACCTCGGAGGTTCATGTGGGTAGGACTTAAGCTAACGAAGGCCTCTCAGTTCAGAAGGTGCGCCTCAGGGCTGTTTGGCAGCAAGAGGGGAGGGTTACACCAGAGGCTATTAGGAAGCTTGTGTGATGCAGCTGGGGAACATGCAGACACTCACCCCGTCCTCTTCTCTGTGGGGGTTCAGCCTGTTGTAGACAGCCTCAATGACGCTGCGCCTGAGGATGGAGACAGCACTGTCGTGAGACTCCAACAAGCACCACGTGTACCCTGCTCCATCTCTGAGGAAGTCTAGCAACACGCTAAAACGAGCAACGCTGACAGGTAACCAATTGGGGGCAAGATCCAGAGAAGGAACGTGCCAAATGAGCAATAAAGTCAAAGCTGTACTATACAGTTTAAACCATGAGTTACACTGTTTCTGGGGCTTGGTAGAAATATACAGTATGAGCATTGGAAGCGAGAGGAGGGACTCCCTACTTGCTGGCGAGGGCGCCCCCTGGTGGAAGGTTGGGGATGTTCTCTGTGGAAAGGTTGCGCATGACATGAACCAGGTCAGGAACTCCTTCTTCCCCTGAGGTCTCCATGATTTCTGTGGGATGGAACAGAAGGGAGAGACGCAGAAAGCTCAGATTCATTTAGCAATGAAGCTTTTGAGCAGGAAAGTCAAGAGGGGCTAGAGGAAGGTCAGCAGTCAAACAGTGCAACTGAAAACACCTGCAAGAACATAGGAAATTTACAAACGAGAGGGGGCCATTCGGCCCATCAAGCTCGTTTGGGAAAGAAGTGTTTTTGGTGTGGTGATGCCCTAAACTGGCAGGATTAGGAGCACTGGGCGAGGCTGATCAGAAGAGTGGGGGGGGAGGTGTCTGTGTGGATGAGTATCTGTGTGTGTGTGTGTGTGTGTGTGTCCCAACCGTACATTTGAGCCCCTCAGATCAGTCAAAGCAACTGTGGAAGCCAACAACCACCACCTAGAGGAGTGGTTGCTGACAGGTCGATCTTCAAGACATTGTCAGTCGATACCGACAACATATCGGAGGGGTAAGGTAGAGCCGACTGGCCCAGAGATCTCCATCCCACACCAGTATGGCTAAGTGGGGGCATCACTGTCTCACACCACTATGGCCAGTCAGACTCAAGCCGTGTCATCACTGTCAAAATGTCAGTAAAGCATGCACTGCACTGTCATGGTAACTCGTAGCCCAGGTGCATCATCACCAGTACCTCATACCCACATAGTCAAAGACACCACACCCAATCCATACACCTTTCACAGGGACGAGGGGGAATGATCTGTTTTCCCCCCCCCAAAATCAGCAAATCCCCTGACAAGTCTGTCAGGCACATCTACTGTATGCAACTTAACGGTGAATTTGCTGTGCAAACACGCCGTTGGCTGCTGGCCTGAGGCCCTGCTGGGTCAGACAGCTGCCCCGTGGGGGTTGCCGCTGCCACCCCCAGTGCCTATGCCAAGGACACGGTGAGAAGAGTGGGCCAGAGGAGGAGACCCTGAAGCAGAGTGTGAGGCGGCGGCAGGAACAGTGCCAGTTCGATGTTCCGCCAGTACATTCTTCCGCGGAGCCGCGGCGGCCCCTTCTGGCGTGCCGAGCCGGCCGGTGGGAACACTGCTCCAACGTCGGGCCGGCGCTCTTGGCCAGCTCCAAGGGGAAGAGTTTACATAACCCGGGGACTTTAGAAAACTAGTAACAGCGTGCCAGAATGTTTCAAAAGCCCGAAAAAGAAGAGGGGGGGAGGAGGGTGTAAAAAGCAACACAGTGGGACTCAAGTTTTCACGGAGTGCCGCCGTGATCTGAAGTAAAAGTAGGTCAGCATAAAAAGTACACAGCTCATCTCTGAGTGACAGGGAGATGGATCAGGGGCAGGACGGAGTGGGACGGAGCGGGACAGGGCTTCCGCCTGCGATCAAATTAGCTAGAGCAGTTTCTCAAACCAGTCCTGGGGGACCCACCAGGATGGTCCACGTTTTTGTTCCCTCCAAATTCCCAGGGAATTGGGAGAGAGCAAAAACATGGACTGTCTGGGGGCCCCTGAAGACTGGTTTGAGAAACACTGAGCTACAGGACCTGACTGCAGCCTTGTGGCTCCATGGACAAAGCGGGCAGATTGAGGGGAAGAGGTCAGATTTCTAGGTCACTTGACACAGGCCAACATAGCCTGTTCTGTGACACCTGGGCCAGATGGCAGTTACAGCCATACAAAGACATGGTGTCGTCACAGGCCTGGGCTCGTTGAGGACCACTCGTGTGTGCGTGCCTACTCTGGGGTGAAGGCCTGTATCAGTATGCATTTGTTGCTACAGGAGAGGGGGAAAAGCGATGAGGACAAAGCGCTGACACACAGAGGGCAGAGAAGCAGGAGATGAGCCAAGCAGACGAAGCAGAGAAGGGCCACCAGAGACCAGCACCCACCTTCCACTCGAGACTCCAGGTACTTGTCCAGCTCGGCATCCCTCTTGACCGCCTCCTCTGACACCTTGGGGGCGTTAGGCAAACACACCAACACAACGCTCATGTTGTCCCGGCTTCCCTGGAAGGACAGAGGTGGTAAGCTTAGCTGAGGGGCATGACCGGTCACAGCACACAGCACACCTTTGTCACACACACTGTTTTCCATTCAAACAGCTTAATACATCCCCACTGAAACTGTCTGTGACAGCGGGTCCCTCAACCGGGGCTCGAACCCAGCTGCGGCTAAGAGTGCAAGGCTGCTGATCTCCTCTGGCTCACTGCCCCCCATGAAGCCCCCTGTGTTTATCTTAGGTGAGAGTGTCTCACAGGCACTAAAAACGGAAATGTGCGCCCTTTTTCCACAGGCTCTGCCGAAGCTCGGGGGAACAGCGAAAATGAGAGATACAGAAAGGAGGACGAGAAACACACATTTTCCATCCTTCAGGATCCTGCTCCCAGGATAGACTGGCAGATAAATGTGCTTCACTGGGAGGAAATTACCAGTTGCTCCACAGAGCACCAATCCTCATCTTATCAGCATAATGTGCAGGTGAATGACAGACAGCCTGGCTGCCTTGAGAAGACAGAAAAGCCAGCATATGAAGAGCTGCTGTCAGGAAACAACAAACACAACTGCACAGAAACTGTAGGACGACAGCAGCAGTCAAGAGAAGAGGCTGGTGTATTCAAAGTCGAGATCAGCATTAGAGTGGCTTCAGGGACCACATAAGCATGCCCACTGACTGGAAGTCCAAACCCAGGGCTAAACACCACTCCATGATCCCCTGCTCCAGTCCCACCTCCCACAACGGCACTACTCCATAGACTCCTTCCCAGGCTCCCAACATACCTTATGCAAGCAGGTGTCTACCACGGCATTGCAGACCTTTTCCAGGTCATCAGTGACCTCCAGCCGTGACCTGACGAACTCGCAGAGTTCCTCGTTGCTCATGACGTCCCAGATGCCGTCGCAGGCGAGCACCACGAACTGGTCCTCGTCAGAGCGTGCCATCTCGAAAACCTCAGGCTCGGGCGACACCAGTTGCTCCGTGGGCCCCTTGCCATCCACGCACTTGTAGTCGTAGTCTCCGAGGGCACGCGAGACTGCCAGTGAGCCGTTCACTCGCTGGATCATGACGGAGCCACCGGCATTCTGGATGCGCTCCTTCTCGCGTGGGTTGCACGGCTTGTGGTCTAGCGTGGAGAAGCAGACGTGCGAGCTGCGGTAGAGCACTGCCCGTGAGTCGCCGCAGTTGATGAAGTAGAGGTGTTCGGGCGACACCAGCACGCCCACTGCTGTAGAGCCGCTGCGGTCCATGCCATTGCGCAGATCGGCAAAGCTGCGCATGTACTCGTCGATCTTGAGGAATCCGGCACGGATGCCACTCTTGACGCCCTCTACCGTGGGCTCGGCCCGGTCGGCGCCACGGAAACCCTCGCTGCCCGTAATGTGCTCCAGCAGGTGCTTGGAGCAGTAGTTGGCCACACGTGAGCCGGCGTGCCCATCGTACACGGCGAAGAAGGACCAGTCAGACAGGCCCTGTGGCAGGCCCACCACGGCTGTGTGGGCGTCCTCCATCTCCACGCGCCAGCCCTGCATGCTACTCAGGCCGAAGCGCAGCCCATTCCCCGCGCCGTGTGCATTGTGCTTCTCAGTCTTCGGCTTGTCCAGAAACGCCCCCATGGCTTAGTGCACGTCCTGTGGGGGGAGCGAAGGGTCAGGTTGGTGCAGATGGTACCAAACAACACAGCCGCCACACTGTCGGAACTGTCCATCACGGACTGAACCCCATCTTTATAAACGAAAACCCTGGCCTGATATAACACAGTAAAACTGCCAAACCTTTTAACAACTCTTTAATATCTATGCTGAGAGCTTTGGGTGCAGTCATCTGCTGTGAAAACAATTTCATATACGACAGATTTCTGACTGCATTTAAGCTTGAGATGCTACAGAGGTAGGGCACCCGATGCACATTTCCCACCCGCACCATGAAGCTCGGCACCCTCTTCTAGCTGCTATTCCCAGGTTCTCACCGCTCTCTGAAAATCGCCTGCTAGTGTTAAGGAACTCCATCTAACGATCCTACTGTCCTTCTGATTCAATTATTCACGATCACCAGCCTATTCCAACATGAAGCTGATTCTGGATGTGGAAAATTATTTTTCTTATGTGTGTTTGTGTACATTCTGTCTAATATTTTTTATATACATACATATGTACATACACACACACACACACTATATATTACATTATACATAGTATATATTACATTATTATATATATCTCGGAACTGTCCATCACGGGCAGAACCCCATCTTTATAAACGGGAAAAAAAAAATTAAATAAAAAAAATATGCGTGTGTGTGAGATGCACCGATTGCAATTTTCTTGGCCGTTCCCGATTTTTTGGTATGTGTGATCTGCTGAAACCAATTTTTCCAATACCGATTTTTGCCCTGAGAACAGCAAATACATACAAAAATCACATTTTCTTCACCTCAAAACTTTTATTTTCATAACTTTTATTAAACTTTATAAATTCAAAAACATTAAACTAAAACAAATAAAGCCCCAACTACAACTAAACATTAATATATTCTTTAAAATAATAATAGGTGCAGCTAGTAAACGTGTGGGACATGACACTAGATTAAACAGCTCGACGTCCGAAAAGTAACACCTACTCTGTATTCTGTATTTTGGGCTGAGGTAATTTATAAGATTTCTGAAGCCTCTATCCTCAATTACAGAAAATGGCTGGTCATCCAGTGCAATGAATTCCATAATTTTCCTCGTAATTTCTTTGCTCTTTTCACTGCTTATAGCAACGAAAGATAGCACAAACTGCTGGCTCATAGATGGCTTTGAACATGCTTTGCTAGCAGCTTTCATTTTGCTAGCTTGTTCAAACTGAGCGTGATCACTGGGGTGATGTGTTTTTAAATTAAATTTGTTGTGTTAAATGTCTTTGTACTGGTTCCCCCACGGTGTACCTCGGTCTTACACTTGCTGCAGATAGCGAATTTTGCGTCTGCTTGGCTCACGCTGAAGAATTTCTAAATTACGGACATTTTTGCGTGTCTGAAAGTGTGCGCGGCTGCGCATATGATTTATTGTGTAATGCGCAAGATCGGTTTGTAATCGGAAACACGTGAGACTGATTGGCCCATTCCAATCGCTGGCTGATCGATCGGTGCATTCCTAACACACACACACACACACACACACACACACACACACACACACACACACCTCCCTTATCCGAACCTCCAATATACAGGCACTTCCCTCTACTGGGCAGCCCTAGGTACACACATGCACAAGTTAATTTTACACAACCAGCAACTGTTGTTACGAGCCCCAGTCTATGGTTGGGGTGTAATACAGAGTGAAAGGGAAAGGGGACATGGAGTAAGGGAAGGACAGGGTGCGATGGACAAGGGAACATACGTGGACAAAGGTATTTTTAATATATTTTTCTGTTTTATTCACACACCACGGACACAGAACAAATAAACCAGGTGCAAAAGGACTCAGGAGTGACTATAGTGAAAAACAAAATCCAGCTTCCAAATGCAAACCAAAGCTAACTTACCTAAGTGCAGAGAAAACAAAAACATGACAAATTCTATACCTTACTCCCTATCCAAACAACAGCATACAACATAAGCTCGCAAAACAAAAATGGCAGTCACTGAGACATACACAAAGATCAAGGCGTCAAAGTCCGAGGGGTGCGCAAAGACGTTAACCAAAAGCCAGGCGAGTGTTCAAAAACAAATAGCAAGTAAACCAAAGTGAAAGTACAGACAAGGACAGAGCGAAAATCAGAAATCCAATAAACCAAACAAATCATACACAGTAATATCCATCAAAGAAAAGCAAACCAACAACAATAATCAATAAGTGAGCAGAGCTCCCGAGACGTCTTGGGGTTGGCTTTTCACTTCAGAAGACGGAAGTGACGAATGCCGCATACAGAGAGTTGTGGGCGGAGTCTGCACGTGGAGGCAGAGCGAACATCGAATGGAGAGCGAGCTAGAGGACAAGGCTGTAGGCGGAGCTGAATTTACAGCGGTGCGTAAAACTGTGTAAAATCCATGACTTCAAAAAGGAAGCGTAGTGTCACGTCCCTCCAAAATAAGCTCGATATCATTACAGAGATACGAAAATGAAAATCACACAGTTATTGCATACAATTTCGGAGTGGCTAAGTCTATGGTAGGCGATATTCTTGACCACTGCAAGAATAAGACGGGACGATTCGCTAGCTCAGACTGAAATAACATCCTAATAAAAGCCTTGCACCTCATAAATATCATGTAGTTTGTATGTGTACCCATGTACTTGTACGTTGTACTGTGCTGTTCATGTATTTCTAAGTTACGGGCACACGCGCGCACACACCCACACAGGATTGTAATACTATTTTTCTGGGGACTCTCCGTTCATTTCTATGAGGAAAACTCTAATCACAACATGAGGACCTTAACCCCTACCCAGCCCAAAGCCCGGAAATCAAAGCGATTATGGGGCGGGGGTCCGCCACTATGGCCAGTGATGTGCCGACAGTGCTCTATGAACATGGGACAAGGAGCGACAATGCAAGGCTGCTCTCTTCTGTACCAGACCCCAATTAGAAAAGCTGTGACTGACTGACTGAGTCCATGTATTCATATCTTTGTGGGGACTCTTCATTCATTTCAATGGGCATAACCCTAATATCAACGACAACCTTAACCCCCACCCAGCCCTAACCTTAACTATAAGTGACCAAACAAAATACAAGACTTTTGGCATATTTAGTTTTTTAATTGCATTCACAGATCTTTGTGGGGACCTGAAAAATGGTCCCCACAACATCAAGATAACAGGTTTTTATCACATTGTGGGGGCCAATTGGTCCCCACAATGCAATATAAACCTAATACACACACACATACACACAAAAATAATCAAGCACAGCTATCACTGATGCCTGCTGGGAAAAAAAAAAAAAAAAAGTGCCCTCATCAAACGACAGCATATTCACTAGTCAGGATGTCTGGGGGCCAGACGTAAGGATTCCGCCTCTGAGGTCTTTGCTGTACAAGCTCTTCTACTCAGACTGAAACAGCCTCGTATCAGTTCAATTTAGCCCAGTAACACTGCAGACGTCTGGCCTGCTTTTCTTAGCACCCTGAATCAAACTATGCAGTGCTATACGAGAGCCACGTCACGTTTCCAATCATACCTACTAACACTGTAGATTTGGCCCATAATGTGAATACAGTAAGAGGCAGCCTTGATAGCTTATAATTGCAAACCTGTCAATCAGCTAAGATGGTCAAACCAAGGTCATAAAATTATGATATTGATGCATGGGTTGAAAATTGTTACAAAATATTAACATTATTCTTTATCAAAGCCTTCTTCCAGAACCACAAGCATGGAAGCACATGGTCGAACTTCAACACCAACTGATAAGTAGAACAGTAAGGGATACATACGTGAGAAGGAACGATGCGAAGAAACACAGACATTACACATGGTGAAAGCCTGGAAAAATGAGAAAAGGGAGGAAAAATGTAGTTGCCAAACCAAATTAAAACCATGACCCGTGAGCCTTTATGAGTCCAAACAACCTAAAAGAGGGGCTTAAAAAATTAAAACAAAAGCAGAAGGAATTCATCATTCAATTCATGGAAATATGTCTGCCAGCAGGGTCTGGACTATACACGGACCATTTCACAAACATTTAGTCATAAGTTACTCATCGCTTAGCTGACGCCGTTTGGTTGCAAGTTTCTGCAAAGAGCCATAGAGATTTTAGATGTTATAATGGAAGCATCGCTGTGATAAATGCGACCAAACATCACTTTTGATGCTGCAGATGAATTTCACAAGCACATGCTCCATTATTGCCTTGGTAACAACTGATGTAAAATCAAGAATATTCCAATACAAACTGAAAATAAACAGAAGCCACATCCTCTGTACAGAAATGACCTGAAATATCGGCGCCACATGGGCGTGGCCAGGCAGACACAGGCATCGCTCCTGCAGAAACTGAGAGGCCTGGTAGGATGTGGGAGAAAAGGTGATGAGCATAGGGAGGGGCAGAGCTCCAACTGAGCCTTCTCAGCCACAGAAACTGGGTGGATAACCTCAGAAATTTATTAGGGATACAACAATACCACTATTTTCAGACAGAATATGAGAATAGCTGATTGCTTTCTGGGACTTATGGATGACAATAATAATTAGAACTGAGCAATCACAGCGCACCGTTTTAACCAGAAAGAAAGCAAGAGGGGAAAAAAAACGGACAATCAGCAGGCAAAAATACTGATTCTCATTTTTTAAATCTCTGTGGAAAATGATATGGGCTCCCTCAATCCCTCTGAAGCATTGGTCACTCCAGAAAGTATTGCACACTCTCTGCATACCACCATTTCAAACCTATGCTTGATCATCAAGAAAACCACACAGGATGAGAGCTTCAGTCATTTTCACTGCACAAGAGTCATCGGTTGACATTTTCTCCCTCCGTGCCGTTTACTTCTAGATACTTAATTAGATTACTAGTTTGGAAATGAACCTGTTTTTGTACCTCCTTTTGATAGTTTACTAGAGCACAGTTTATGGTCAGCTATACTTTGGTTTTAGTTGTTAACTCTGAAGTACTTCTACACCTCAGGCATTTTGTTTCATTTACTTAGCTCAATAAGAGGCAATTTTCTTGGCCGATTCCGATTTCTCATTTTTTTTGCAAGTGTAACGAGCCGATACACATTTTTGCAGGTTTCTAAGAACTATAATTGACAGCATATACAAACAACTTTTCTTCAACCCAAAAACTTATTTTCATAATAAAAGAAATTGTTAAAATTGTTAATCTTCCTCCAAACTGCATATTACAGGATCTTCTCTGACATAAACAAGTCTCAAAATAAAGTGACTGGAAAGATGTACAAATAATTAACTGAAAATGAGTTGTTGTACACCCAACTTTATTTGACATTCCACTTTACAAAACAAGAGCAGGTGCAACAGTTTTAAATAAATGTCAGTTACTTATACCATTTGTCCAGTATGTTTACATTCACCAGATAACGTGACAAGTCCAAATAATGAATACATCCACCCATCTTCCAATTGCTAATACTGTGCAATAGTGTAGACTGAATAACCCAAAGCAACAGAGGGTGCTGCACAAGGTACTGTACTTTTGGTACTTTAAGGTGTAGGTTTCTCACTAGTGTAAAAACTGGTACGACCGCTAAATGACATCACAATGCAAGGCAGGTATTTTGTACTGAACTGAAAAAATGCTATTGTATATTACAGGGCAGGACAATGCGCAATACTAATACCAACATTGCATGTTATGCACATGCAATTCTTGCATCGCTAGTTAGCTAGAAAATAGGCTTTTTCTTAACTTCAGTTCTGTACAGATATTATAGTGCAGGGAGTTTAAGCTTTGTTAAAACATTTTACTCTGTCATAGGGAAAACAAAACTTTTGCAATTTAATGATCATTCCTTTTCAAGATATTCTAGAATATGTTTAATAATCAGTTTAAACTTTACCTCTGCTGCTCTTGCATTAGTGCTGCATATGTTCGAGACAATTATAATAATTTTTGTCCTTGCCGTTTAAATCACTCCTAGATGGGTTTGTGAGAAACACTTCCACTTTATGAATACCCCAAAATTTATTAAAACAAAATCACTTTCTGATATTTAAAATTTTTCCAACACCACGCTGCCCTAGTACAGTATATAATACTAAATACTTTATTTCTTGTCTGTTCTTCCGACCAGATTACAATTTAAGCTTGGGTCTCTATTTGTCCACGAATCCATTAATAATTATTTTTTTTACTTTGTTGTCTTACGAATTCTTTTTTTTCCCAAGACAGCGGTTGCATTGTGTTCCAGAGGCAGGCTATTTGCATAGCCAATTGACAAAGAAAGCGTTTCAAGTCTCACCCCAAAGTACTATAGCACTTTAGGTGCTGGAACTTTGGGTACTGGTACTTGAATACCAGAAAAAAACAGAACAACCACAATACAGAAAAGGTTAAGCCACAGTTTATCTGAAAAGCTGAGTGACACAAAGAGCTCTCAGCAGACTGTCTGGACAGTGCTGACATCTCAGCAAAGCCAGATCTGAAAGTTCATGTGAAAAGTCTCTCAGTACAGGAAGTGCCTGTGTGTGAGTAAGAAATGAAATCTGAAGGTGTTAATTACCATCGCCTCAGTCCACTCATAACACCTAAAATACCCAACAGGTCTGTTATAAGGAGTGGACAACAAGGTTGACATAGCAGAATGAACAGTCCCAATGACAGTATCCCAGCATGGCATATCACATAGCTATCCAAGGACAGTCAATGTCTAAAGAAAAAACAATAATAGAACTGAAAAATGGAACCATGAGATCAATGCCCTGTAGTCATCTGTTTTAACCCAGTGCCCCATACCTCATAATTAGTATCCACTGAATGATCAGTTAATAGTAAACAGTCCCAGAACAATTAAGTAACGAAGTCACATGGACAGCCAACATTTAGTAATGAAATCAAATAGGGTCAAAAATTACAAATGCTAAAATAATAAAAAATTATCGAAAAATGTCACAACAGGTTACCAAGAGCTACCTCCCCTAATCAGGAGTTCAACAGGAAGAATAAGTACATGCAAAGGAGTCCTAAGTCCATAAGTAATGGCAATTGCAAGTTAACAGGAGCCCATCAGACAAATATGGGAAAGCTGTTTATTTTAACGTGTCCCGTGTTCAGTCCGCCATTTCATTTTCAGCACTTGGTGATGTTCTCCAAACATGCACCTCGCTCATGTTATAGGTGGAATGAACAGAGTGGAAACCTCAATAGACAGCAGCCTCCTACGGGCCTGACAGCCACCTCCTCTCCCGCATGGACGACATCCTTGCAGATCCAGGTCTGTGTTGAGGAGGAAAAAGCGACAGATGCTAAGGTAAATCCTAAGGCTGCTCTGTCTGTCGGTCTCCGCACAGCCAACTGACGGCCAGCACTGCCAATTCAGCCCTCTGGCTTCTGACGCTGTCAAATACCCACAGTAATATTCACAAGACACTGTTCCTCTTGTAGTATTCCAGTAGCCATCAGAGCTTGTAATATGGGAAGCGAGTGGCTGCCTACTTAGATGGGTACAGCTGAAGGAGACAGCGGCATTTCACAATGTGACAGCGATGCATTTTTACGTCTGCTACAGACACCCATCTTTAAAACAGGAAAAAAAAAAATGAACCTGCCATCACAAAGAGAAGCGCGCCAGGCCAGCATGAACCAGCAGGCTTAGCATCGATCAGTCTCGTCTTTAATGAACAACCGCTAAAGCTCTGAGAGGCTTTGGCTGTATCTGTGTAACCACGGGTGACCCACATGCCGGGAATAGAAACATTACACTGCGATACATCTGATTCATGCAGAATCCAACTGACGCTCTGGATAAAAGCTGCATAAAAACACACTTTAAGCACAGACACGAAGATGGAAAGCTGCCACCACACACTTTGCGGACAGTGACTTCACCGGGGAATGGGCGGGTTAGAACCAATCTCTCCCTTAAGACGGCAGTCAAGAGCCTTTTAGTTGACGTCGTGCCCCAGAAGTGCTTATTCACGCTACCTAAAAGAGAGCTGGGAGTGAGCAATGCCAAAGGCGCAACTTGCTCCTGAAACATTTTGTGCTTAATACATGGAAACAAGTTCTGTGAACAAAACCACAGTGATGACAGACTGTATCGATTACCATTTTAAAGAATAGGGCGACAAAAACATTATACCTTGAAAGGTTTACAATGCAAATATTTTCAGTACAAATCTGTTTACAACAGAAGAGAAAGGGAAACCCTCCCAAACGTGCGCTCTCTCACACAGACTGTCCACTGGCATGTCAATAGCTTGTGATAAGTTTCTCAGGTTACAAGACAATGGAGGGCTGAGCCAAACAGCAGGCCTGTCTGAGTACTCTGGCGGCCACCCAGATCACATGATAAGACTTCGGGGGGGGGGGGTTGTAAAGTCCAGCCTCCACCATAAATTTCTTACCCTCACTGCTGGCTTTATGCTCAGTTATAAAAACAGAACCAGGGGAAACTTTGTAGGGCGCTAACCAAGGGATTCCACTGATTACAATTATAACAGGCAATCCAAAACAGTCCAGCAGAACTAGTGAGCAACCAGGTGAATGGTCTGTGCTGTGTGTCTTGGGCGAGTACATGGGAAATGCATAAATCGGGAGAGATTGACAGAAAAACAATGGTGAGTCAGAGAAACACATTGATGGAGCAGGGACCCCCCATAGAAGGGTTGAGTCACCTTGCTGTAGGAAACTTACAGGGGCCCTGCCCAGGTACACCAAAGTACCTGGGAAGGGTGAGACAGTGACCACATCAGTGATAGAAACCCCCATAATCCAGCCACAAAACACACACCCTTATTTCATGCCTTGCACGTCTCAACTGGAGAAATGTGGGTGTTCTGTTTATAAAAGTTGTTGGCACAATGATGTAAAGTGAGCCAACCAGTTATTTCATTCACAAGGCATGTAACGAGTTAATACTATGGGAATAAAGACAAAAATCTTTCAAATTGTACATAATATATTTGAAGGCATCAAGCAGCATAAAATGACAAGATATTGGCGAAGCATAATCAGATCTTGGACTCCTGATTGGCCATGATCACACTGTCCCTAATCAGACAAAGATTACCAAGAATGGAGGAGCTGTAAGCTGCTTTAACCAAACCGCTACAGTAAAAAATTTACACATGCACAAAAATAGATCCCTAAAGGTATTACGTCTTTAAATGAGGCACTAAGTAAATGAGACAGAGATGACAAAATCGGTAGCTGCACTAGTCTTCACACAATCAATTCACAGGGACAAACAAGAGGCCCAAGCAGTTTTGTATTGGGCTCAGACTTTTCCCACAAAATATCCAGTGACAGAACACATTAAATGAAAGCTCATGTGGCAAGTGTAATGTTGTTACACTAGATTATTGAAATTGCTATTAACCAATTGCACTAAATGTACAGAATTTTTATTTTGAAATTTGTATTAGGAGACACTGCGTGAGTGTAGGTCATGTGATTGAGTATATGTTATGCATCATTTTCATTTCTTTATATAGGTCAATTTATATTTCTGAATTATTATTTTTTTGTTTTCCCTTTTTGTGAATTAGTTAATTTATCTAAGATGTTCAGGAACCGCTGTCACGTAGACTATGTAGTGTGTAACCGCGAGGGTAGAGCTGATGTCATTTCCGGGCGCGCTCTCTCTTACGCGGGATGTCATAGCGATAGGAGGTATGTTTTATCAGCTCCTCGGAAAAAGTGGTTAAATATTGTTCATTACTGATTGTTTATAGAGTTTCTGTGTGAAACGTGGTTGTTTGGTAACTCTGTTCGGGGATTAGTAATCCAAGTTATGAATGTTGTAAAGAGTACGTTTATTCCAGGTATGATTGTGATTAATGGTCGCCATTACACATGCGGTACGCTTCTGCGTTTTCAGTATTTCATGATTCTTTGGTAAAAGAGTTTAAAAGTTTCATCTGTGATAGAAGTTATACAATTATAACTTATGAAGTTATATCTGTTTATTTTTAATGATCCAGGAGAGATTTGAATGTATTTCCTGTGAAACGAATATACACTGAAAAAGTATGTAATGATTGACAGGCACAACTAGAGCAGAGATTCCTCCTTTCACTGTCTCATGGTGGCTGTTATGTTTCAATGCAGGTATGTAAATGGATCATTATAGCATTGTTTTATTTTGCTGTATTTGCTTTTCTCTCCATTATATTTTCATTATTATTGTTGTTCAAAGAATTGTCAATGCTTGTTAGCTCTCTTACGCGGGATGTCATAGCGATAGGAGGCACAACTAGAGCAGAGATTCCTCCTTTCACTGTCTCATGGTGGCTGTTATGTTTCAATGCAGACTCGAAGAAATCAAAAACTAAAGCACATGACAACTACATCCTTGTGTGGAGTCTCTTTTATTGTCAACGCACACAACGCACAAGAGGATCCACTACACTCACTTAGCTAAATATCTTTGGATGAAAGGATAAGCATGATTATAAAAGTAGCAGCCGCTGCCAGCTACAATGACAGTCCCTACATCACTGCCATCAAAAGTGACAGCACACCTGTGAGTTTAGATAGCCACCAGAACCCAAGCATGCCATAATGACCCACGGATCCTAAAGGGCTGGGCAGGTTCTGATCTAACTCCCTAAAAAAGAGTGGGGATTCTTGCTCTATAAATAAGCAACCCCCCCCAGCTGGTGAGACAGGGGTGCTAGCCTACACGTGCTCCAGCTCAGCATGGGAGGGACGTGCTAAGTGTCTTCCCAAAAAAGGCCAAAAGGCGCTGTTGGGTGGGGCCCTTGCGGTGTCATGGTCCCGTCAGGATGTCTGACTGGACTACCCCCCACCCACACACTCACTGGGGCTATTAATACCCCCAGGCTTGGGTTACAACTGCACCCAAGGATAGCCCGACACAGTCACCCCACCACCTTACCACCCCACCCCCATTCATTGAGGCAAACCCATGTCTGCTCCCAAGACTGACCATGGGAGCTAACACCTGATATGGGATGACAATGATGAAAGTGAGGTTGCTTTGATTAAGGAAGCAGAGTCCAAGAAGCCAGAAGTGAGTATGTATATATGTATGTATGGCTATATGTATGTGTGTGTGTGTGAGTAATGAAGAGCTGACCCACCTGTAAAGTGAAAAGCTTCTTGGGGAACCTGTGAGCCAACTTCCACAGCATTCAGAAATCACAGGTATAACAAGTTGGTTCAAATAAATAAAAATAGGTTAAAAATTCACTCATTTCCTTACTCAGGACACCTGTACGTAATGTTTGAACTCAACTAAAACCTCATCGCTGTCTGTTTGCTTTGATCATATGCCAAGGTTAGCATGACACAATGAACACAACCTAAAAATAACGGTTCATCGCTTTGGGACATCTGAATGCTTTTCAAACGATTGTGCGGACAGCTCACCAGGCACTTGAGCATGAAAAGGGGTCTAAATAAAATCGACAACGCGAGTCGGCGGGAACCGAGGGTGCCCCTTTGAAGTGTTCTTTCAGTCATACAAAGTGATGGAAGGGAAGCCGAATTTGCAGACCCTGTCATCAAGTTAACCCATTCGTCTTTGTTCTTGGTACCGTCTTTCAACCCTTAGAAAGCTTTTCCCACATTGAAATGAATGAAGCCGGACGAACCACCTGAAACATGAAAGAAAGCGCTACCAGGTAATGCTAACCATCTTACATCGAAGACAGAACTCTGAATTCTACATCTTCCCATTATTTGCTACCCGGTCAGGAGAAGGTGGTGGACAGCTTAATGTTTGGAACACATGTGGCATGAAGAAAACCATCATCAGGGCCACATCTTCAGCATGGTATTAGCAACCAGTCATCCAGTGGGGAATGCAGATATGGCCCTGGAGTTCTAATACAAATGTACAGAGAAAGCCAATGTTCCTCCTACAAAAAGCATGAACGCAACCCCTACAATGGGAAAGCTAAAATATGTTCAATAAGATTCGACAGCAGAAACCACTAGTTTTTCATTTGATACTAAAAGCTTCTTGCCTAGAAGGCCAAAAAGCAATAAATCAGTCCACCCCCTCCCATTTTCCATAAACCTAATTACTAAAATCCTGAAAAACGCAATTAACTAGAAAAATAATTTAAACAAGGCCAATAAGCAAGCATGACCTCCTCAAAAATGACATCAGTAATTATAATATTTATCGATTGCACTGCAGGCTGCTTATGTTTAAAAAAGAAAAAACAGACAACTTAGAAACTGATATTGCGGCTACTGTTGGGCATGTAATATTCTCTACCAGTAACAGGAAACACATCTAAATGCAACTGGGGCATTTTCAGCAACAATGAATACTAATGAACCAAGAACATTGCTATATTATGAATTCCACAAGCACCAAAAAGGCCCCACAATACCCACTGGTAAACCAAATTGTCAATCCTCAGGTCTTCTTATTAAGCAACCAATGAACGTATGGAACCTCTACTCGTTACTGTTGTAGAACCAACACCAGACCAAAAGGGCAATCAGACATATATGGGGGTGATCAAGACAACAGAGTCAACATTAAAACATGATTTAACACAGTTCAAAACCTGCGCGCTCAAATGTTATGCTTTGCGGATGTTTTCCTGATTTTCAAAAGAATGACTTCAGACTATTAACATAGGAGCTACAAGTAAAAATAAAATATTAAGGCCAGACGTCACAGTAGCAACACAAATTTTCACAAAACTACTCTTAACTTCATAGTCCAAAATGCAGGAAAAGGACGGCACATATTCATTGTCCCCTGCAGGAATGATACAGTCTCTGGCACTGCAATGATGCAACCACCAAGCTGCCGTGGTGTGTTCCATCCCCATGGTTACCCTGCGTGGAGTGGGTGCAGAGTGGTTCCTATGGAAACACAGATCCAACTCTGGTCGACGCGGGGCACATCTTTTCTTTTGCCGTCCTCCAGTCTGATACACATGCAGCTGCGCAGCATTATGTAAGCAGCATGTACAGACCACTAGGGTAGTGTAAAAAACACGTGGGAGGAGTTGCACTGTGTCGAGACCCATGGACATGACATAACGAAACTATGACTTGACAGGGCAGTGATAGGGATGGCTTTCCGGGACCAAATCAGCTCTAGCCACAAGGACATTGAGTACACTCAGATCATTTTTGTTTTTGGTGGCACAATAAATATCTGAACCACACAATGTAAACAAATTGAGAAGCAAACCGCCACGTTGTACTCCTGTTTAATCCGCAGTACCTCACTTCTCCCACCACTTCATTGGCTATTTTCAGGCTTTATACTGCCTTCTACCCAGTTCTCTTGCAATCAGTGCAAGGTTGATATCACAATTACCTCATGCATCATCCTAGAGCTGAAAACAGAGCACGCTCTTAAACAGTTATGGAAACAAATTCTACCACATTAGAGGGTACCCGGAAACAAATGTGCATCATCTGCCGTATTTGACCCAGATTCTCAATACAATTACAGGATGGTCTTACCATGCTGTTCACTTAATCACAAAGGTCACCTGTTCAATTATTGCAGGGGTGGCCAATGTTATCCGCAAAGGGTCGGTGTTTGTGCGGGTTTTCACTGCAAGTCCCTAATTAGAGGACTGATTGGCTGAAGAGTCCTCACACCTGGGTTTGAACAGCTGACCTACAGGTTATCCCAAAAACTTGCATACACACCGGCCCTTTGCGGATAAGATTGGCCACCCCTGAATTAGTGTGTCAAACACCAGCCTGGAAGCAGGAAGGCAATACAGTAAGGTGACCATCTATGAGCGAAAAACATATTTGTACAGATGCTCCTCTTACAATGGGACTGAGTTGGGCAGACCATTGATAAATTTACATTTTTTTTCCTTTTCAAGGTTTTCCTAATATATTGATATAATTGAAAAGTCTGTGTGAATAAAGTTTTCATTGTTAGTTAAAACTAATGCTATTTTCACCAGGTCAAACTGCATTATCAGATTAGAAGAAAACACAATACAAACGCTCCTCTACTTACAAACTTTCAACTTACGAACTTTCACACATACGAACGAAGAGGACTGTAAATCCATATTGTGTTCGTTGGGTTCCCGTTTCCTGTCCGCAACAACATTTTTTTTTTTTCTGCTCGCCAATTCCATCTGGTACGACTTCTGGCCGCTACTCCCACCGCGCAGCAGCGTAGCGTGCGTACTCCCAGCAGCGTAGTTTTTTGTACTTGCATATACCCTTAAAATGATGTTGAATAACGACTTAGAAATATTTCAAGTTACGAACGGCCATTCGGAACGTAACTCGTTCATAAGTAGAGTAGCATCTGTACATGCTTTTTCCTGCAGCTCTGTGATAAGCACACCTGCCAAAAAGACATTGTATGTTCACTGCACACACAGCAAAGCCCTAGCAAAGATGCTTGAGTTTCTACCTAAAAATTTCATAAACTGGTTACTATTTAAGTTCCTCTCCTAAACAGACGTGTGTGTATACTGTAGTGTTCCATTTGAACTCGTAACTCGGAAATTCTGAGTTCCTAGTTAGAGATTTCATGTGGAACAGCCCCCATGAAGTTGGAAGAATCTACAAAACCCTGACCTCAGAATTCAAGATGGCTGCACCCTTTATCAACAGAAATTACACTATTTATTAGCACTTGCGTCTTATTTGTGGCTCATTAAATCTGCCTGATTCACGTTTTTTCATTTCTGAACTGATGCTGATACACAAGTGCCGATATGGATAAAGATTCCAATACAAGAGCTCATTTTACTTAATGTTTTAATATAATACATATTAATATTTATACTTTACTAGTTTAACATTATTAATAGTATATAAATAGATGAAGAAATGTATGCCAAAAAAACTAATTAGGCTACTATAAACATACATAATGTACTGTTCTACCTTGTTTTTGCATCTTAAGAGTTCCTGAGGCATTTGCAGTTCAATTTGAATATCTTCCAAGTGAGGATACGCACGTGGCGAATGCTTAAATTGCCCCGCAATGTTTCTCCCACTGGCAACAGCGTCACTCACACTTCATTGTCACAGCAGCCCCCCGTGTTTCACAAGCTGTAGCGAGTGTGCAAAACAGCCCAAGCTAGCGACTCCCAAATCATTCATTGCTTTTCATACTACTCGAGATGTCTCGCACAATTGCGTGCATTTTGTTTAGTGGGATTTTCCACAAAATGCTATTCCCACTTCTCAAAACTTTTTAGCAAAGAATGCAAATCACTGTGCTACTAGCTGCTGTTCAAAGTGTAAAATACTCCCAGATCATCACCTTATCATCTGATGTTCTTACGCGCCTCATACTGCAAAGGGTATGCGCATGATGTCACAGCAGGCGGAAGTCA